TAAAGAAAGAAAAATCGCATCACTTTAAACTAACTTCGTATTTTGCATCGTGCATCCTAGTTCTGAACTTCGAGTCGACCTCATTAAGTAGGACTCTACGAAGATCCAGATTAACTTTAGCAGGAGGGGTTTTAGCAGCAACAAATCTGATAGGCAATGTAATCTCCTGCCGAATCGAAAGATTCAGACAACGAGAGAGCGCCATCTCAATTAGTCTTAAAAATTAGAGTCAGTATTGAGTAACCCGCGCCAATATTTAATAAATTAAAACAAACTGCGTACATTGATTTTTAAATTTAAATTTAAGCATTTTTGCTTTTAGTTGTAACTATACAGCCATCTTAATTTAAAATCAGAAAACAATCATTAAAGGGATTTAACTTTAATATTTTATTCATTGCAATATAATTTTGAAGCTTTGCAAAAGTTATTGACCTGACTCAATAATCGGGTCGTTCAACGCTAGTAATAATGCGTCTTGATACTTCCTAGCCGGTACAAGAAATTAGTAAATGCAGCTGGATGCATGTATTCCACTGATGATAGAACGAATAGACCTGAGCATGTTCCGAAGGCTAGCCCACGTGTACAAGGGCCAGGCCAATCCCAAAGTGATTACCGAACGTCAAGTAGTCACATAAACAAAGCATTACATCTATGTTTTAGAAATTTTTAGCGCAGCCCAAAGCTTTTTGAATACTATACTCTTAAATGAGGAATATGTATTTCCCTGAGGCTTCTCACAAGTTTGAAAAGCATTACGTTGATCTGAATGTATGCATTCTAAGAGAAGGAAAAGAGATAGGTGCATTACTTTGCTTATGTAGCCGCTCGATGTCTGGCGATTACTTTAAGTATCGTCTGACCCTTGGGCACTTGGACTAACCTTAAGGCCAATCTCAGTCTTAATCCTTTCGCTTGCCCTGGGATACATGCATTCAGCTACACATAATGTCTTTTACCCGGTGGGAAGTCTGGGAACGCTACAATAGAGTCTTTGATTAGCCTAAAAGCCAGTCCAAGAGTACAAGAGCAAAGCGAATACCAAACGCAGCTTTTAAACAAAACTTGTCAATTTTATACACCTTTACGAATACTATGCTTTAGCCCACAAAGTGTTTTTGTTTCACTAACTTGCCATATATCATTGCCCAGTGCAACTTATAACTACCACATAAGCCATTGAAAGATAATTTATTCTATCGGCAGCGCGAGTAAAGATAAATAAATAAGGCATTGAAGGAAGGAAGAAAGAAGTATAGATCAGAGGTGTGGCGTCACTGTCTTCTGCCAGGAGCGATTACATCGATTTCTAGCTGCGATTTGTGTTGTTGCGCCAGAACTTTCCCTCTCCTTCTGTCTCATGACGGCCGACACATGGTGAGCATCAGTCAAAGCGAAATGAAGCTAAGTTCAGTAGGTGCATAGGCGAAAATCCATTTTCTAGAGCGGCGGAGGTGGAGTGGAAGAAGGAAGCGTCTACTTTGACGACGGGTTTCACGCAGATGAAGAAGAAGGAGGTAGGCAATGAAAGGGCACTGGCTGGAAAGGGTTTCAAGAGTATCAGAGTGCTTAACTCGCATGTGTCCTGACTTTATGGAGCCGATCTCTGGGCTCACAACTCGATCTGGAATTCAGCACTTGTCTCCGTCACGCTATATTGCCCATTTGGCTGAACCATCTCTGCATTCTACAAGGTACAAAAAGTGAGTAAGTGTTTTTTGACTACTGTGCAACATAAAGTAAAAGAATTGCAAGAAATTCAGCAATGTCTAATGGTTCTTGACCGTTTTCCCATCGCATTAGCTCAGTAATGCTAAGCAAAGGCAAGCGAATGGCAGTAGCTAAGACATAGGTTGCGGCATGCTTCAAGACGTAGCTGAAGGCTGCATTTCTTATCGTCCGATAAGCCTTACCCCGAGATCATATTGCGGCTTCACAGGTTCAGGTGGCACTGGTGATTGTTGCTGTTGCAATTGTGTTGGTGATTGAGGGGGCGGAGGCGGTGGTGGTGGCGGTGGCGGCGCCTGTGCATGCATCTGTGGTGCTGACGGTTGCTTTTGCAAAAGGAAAATTCAAGCGCCTTGCAGAAGCGAGAAAATTCCATGCTCACGCTAGGCCATGCAAGCATCACTGGTTCAGCTCAATTAAGACTGATACTGTTATTTAACTTGACTGTAACGGTATCTTTAAGAGGCAACATTATTTCATTTTACTTGAGTCTTCTGAGTATTCGGGACTTTCGTTGAGCCTAGCTGCTAAACCTAAGCTTCCCATTGTGAGATTTTTTTACAATTTTGATTTTTGTCACCCTTTCTTCCTACCGTCTACTAATTTTGTCTTCAAATTTAGCCTGAGCTAAATTGCTCTCTAAATTCACATAATAAAGCAAAAACGGAGAATATGAACCTTCTGGGACACATACTGAAAATTTCGATACTGTTTGAACGGCTTGAGCTTGCGGCTGAAATGTTATCGTATGCTGCGACTCAAGTGGTGTTGGTTGCGACTGTGGACGGTGTGGACTCTCTTAATCGCTACCTCTTGCCTCGTTTTAATGGGTTTTACCATCTAGGAAGTTTGTTAACCCCTAATACAACCCACTCCATATCTGATTCATGATTCACCTTACTTCGATTGTTAAGAAAATGTCACCAGTGTCATACCCGAACCACAGTTTGATTTATTGGTGGTTGCTGTGGCTGCGGCTGCGGTGGTTGTGGTTTCGGTATCGGTGCTTGTTGTTGATATTGCACTTGCGCCTGTGGTCGTGGCGCTACCGGAGCTGGAGCCGAGATCGGCTGGCTGGTTCGCATCGGGTCGCCTTGGAAAGAGCGACGGTTAGAGCGCAGCGAGGCCTGCACTTGAGCGTACATCAGCTCTGTGTCGTTCAGGCCCTCCGTTTGGCTAATTCCTTGTTGTTGAAGCAAAATAACGATCATTTATAATCAACTTTATCTGCCTGTTGTGCAACTTTGACCTTCTACTGCTCGGAGGAGATTTTGGATTCTCTGACGAGATATTCATCCAAACACTTATTCTGCAATCCATGTAAATACCAAATGCTACACATTTCTTCTTTAAGAGAATTTTGATTTTCAATTCGCATTACTTTCTCCCTTAGGAATGCTTAAATATTAATCAAACGATATTTCAAAAGTAGCAGCAGTAGGGCTGATTGTTACAACTTTTACACGATACTTTTTAAACTACGTACTAGTCTTCTCCGTACGGCACCACCAGATTTACTTTGGCTGGTGATCGTTCGAAAGTCCCCTCCATTAAACTTACGAAAAATTCAACAAAAACAGAGCCCACTTAAGACCACAGATGGAGGCGCATCGGTGAACTCACTTCGTTCAAGCTTGCGCAGCTCAAGAACCTTTGGTTTGGTTTTCTCGAAAGCATTCCTCAACTCCTCACTGCGTTCCACGCGCTTAAGGCTCGCCATACGTCTAAACGGATTTTCTGGGTAAAAAGAAGAAGAGGGGCAACAATGAGTTAAAAATGAGGAAAAGGAGTTGTCATATGTGATTTGAAAACGCGGTTCCTTGAGGAGGGCCACCTCTACCATCCTACAACGCTTGTCCTTTGGTGAATCATTAGTACAAGCTAATAATTCACCATACATTCGACCTAACAACAGTGAAGTGGTGATGAGATTATGAAGACCGTCATCATACTTGGCTTCGAATAGTCACTTTGCTGAGCGAATGGAAAGTGTGAAGCGAACCTAATCTGAATAGGTGGAGACGGATTCGTTTCCATCGGCAGGTGGACTAATTACCCTTCCTATTGTAGCGAATTTTTGTGCCCATGACACTGGTTTCCCGGTCCTTCCTTACGTTTGCTTTAAGGGATAACTCAAGAGCGTTGGACTGGATGAGAACGGTTATTCGTAATTAAGAAAATAGAGGATGAGCGACTCACCAGGCGCGACGTGTTTGAGGTCGGGTCGGTAGTCGGGTTGCGGGTCAATGACGAGGGAGCACTCTGATGCGGCCTCGCCCAAATTGTTCTTTGCGACTGCGGTCACTGTGTACTCCCCAGGCGGACCACAGCGATTAAACTCCAGGTAACTAATGCCGCCGTCATTGTAGATGCGCCAAGCTCCACTTCCACCGCTCTATGAATAAGAAGTAAAGGGCATTTCTTTTGATCTGAGAATGCTCCTATTCTCCCGAACCGCCATCTGCGTATGATGCTTCAAACATGCGACTGTTTGCGGTACTTCTCTTTAACAAAAAACATGCGAAATAATCAAATAACTTTAAAAAATGTGGCAATGGATAGAGGTCACTCTCAATCTGCAGCCAATAGGCGTAATAAACGAACTGCGGAACATGCAGGTTGTAGGTTCGCAGTTTTTAGAATGTAAAAGTCGAGATTGGCCCCGAGCAGATCATTGAGACTCCTGACATTGAATATTGACCTGTCATTTAGCACTTCCTTGAAAGAGTTGCAGAATATCGTTAGCTCTTCGTCTGACCACGAAGTGGGTATTACATTTATCCAGAATGGGATCGTCATAAGAACTTCTCTAAGCCTGACAGTGGAACTGTAGGACGACTAATGTATCGCCAACTCAGCACTCACTTAAAGAGTTATGAGAAGACGATCCTTAGCAGACTCTCTACATGTACCTGGGCACAAAAGCTGAAAGGTTGGTCTATTCTCGTATCAGTAGTAGCACTCACTCTACTTCATCCAAAGGTCTCCACGATCAAGGGTAACTCAAAGTGCTACTTCCATAGGCGCCGTTACCTCGTCAGCCACTTTTGCCCTGAAGTTGCTTTCAGTGACTTGCAGAATCGGTGGAAGCAGTGCCACAAGTAATTAAAAACCCTCTTATGCTACAAACACGAGGCATAATGGGAGGAGTGAGAAGGTAGACCACAAAATGACCCAGTAGGTGCCATCTCGATCAACAGTAGCCGCAAGCGGTCAACAGTGGCCTAATCCATGCCTCTGCTTGTCAAGCCCTTAAGAAAGAACCTCTTAATTCACTTCACCATCAACTTACAAGAGATGACAATGATTGCAACCTCCTTCTGCCCATTTCCTGCGGTCAAGATTTATGGCCACGCACTTGCATCTTTACGTGGGAGGACTTTAAAAAAGAAATTGTTCTTCCTTTGCACTAGTTGGTGTTGTCATTGCTGTTGGATTTTGGGGTCTGAATTTCTATTTTCTTTATTTTCTACGGGTCGAGTGGGCTTATTTTGGATACAAATATCTAAAGAACTTGTCCACCAAGAGAATTCGTAATCGGACGTAACCAGTTGACTGGTTGCCATTTCCCGATGGGAAGCTTTCCATTCACATCATTGACGAAAAAAGTGCGATGAGGATACTTAACAAATATGGCAACCTATCCTTTAGAAAAAATAGCTAACTTTCGTAAAAAAACTTAACGAATCATGTGATATACTTAAAGCACCCTAACGAGCAATCATTCCCGTTACAATAAGTTAAATGAAGTTAGTCTTTGCTAAGTTCAAAATCAAGTCTTAGTCTTAGACTAAAAGCAGATGGAGGAGTCAACTGATCCCAACTGACCAACTGATCCCAAATGGTTCCTTCTTCATGCATAAATTTGTGCAACCAGTTAATGTATTCTCCGTTGTTTGGTCCAAGTCTTAAAGATGAGAATTCCTAAAGTAGCATTGCAATCGTTCCATTTGGTTAAGATTCATGTGCCTAACAAAAAAAGTAATGCAGGTGACCAACCTTCAAGATAGTCAAAAAGTTCAGACTAGCGTGCGTTAAATACGAGCTGCAATTTATGAGGCGCATTATGTAATTGTAAGCAGACTCACGGTGGGCAGAACATCGCCGTTGATCAGCCACTGGACACGTGGGTGTGGGTATCCACCGGCCTTGACTAGAAGACGCACTGGAGAGCCCTCGATAGCAGTAGTGTTCTTGGGTGCCAACTCAAAGCTTGGTGGAGCCGGGTGCTGCTCAGTCTCTGTGTAGCGTTGGTCCTGCCTACAACGCACAATCGACCAATGACAAATCGCGTAGCGCATGGCACAGCTCTTCTGATTGGTCACTTTGTTCTAACTGCCCAACCCCACCAATTAACGGCTATCCTCTGCTACAACCCAACTGCTTTAATAGTTACTTTTAATGCCTTAAGTTATTACCGGTGTTTATTTATTCAAGTGCGCATAATGAAAGCAATGATCTTGACTGAGTAGAAAAGTACTTTTAAAACTGATTTGAATCCTCTGGATTCTCTGTCGCTATAGGGTGACCACTAAAAGAAAATTCCTTACAAAAATTCATCAGAAGTGTACAGTTTCAATGGATCTCTCTACAGAAATCAAAAGACCTTAGCGTGGTTCCGCATTGAAATCAAATCCATTACCATCGGATGAAATCGCAATCATATATTTTGCATTTCACTCGATTTGAATGCTAAATAAAAATTGATTGGTGCTTGATGAAATTTTTCCTTCTCCATGCACCTCTTTAGTGCATCCCTAGGTGGATTTTAGCAGTCGGCTTCTAAGGTTCTTCACTCCGTTCATCCAAACCACATGTTCACTACATTCTCGTCTGGACAAATGTCTTACAGTTTTATTGTAGGGAGAGCATTTCCATTTGCTGCAGAAAGAGGACTCGTCTTTGTCAAGCAATGCTTCATCGACAGTTTCTGACTGCATCATCGTCATTATCAGGTGCAGGAAAAGGTCAAAGGTCTTAACCGACCCACCTCATCGGCTATGGTGTGCTGCTGAAGGCGTGGTGACAGCATCGTAATTAAGTGATTACTTTGACCTATGAGGATGCGATGTAAGGTGGAGGTCGTCGACACACAAGTTGTGCATGTCGTAACTCCACTTCCTGGAATGACTCAGCATCTGCGTTTAAGGACAGCCCCATTGCCTCGGTGGGAGGTATTTCATGTGCATGTAGTTGGCAGGAAAATACTACAAGCTTATGTTGCCACTGCTCTGGTTCTGCACCCTTTAACAATACTTTCAATCACTAATCAACGCTTCCTTAGGTTTGGACCGTGGAGGACTTTGTGCCTTCTCATGGCACTTTACTGTTCTGTCAACGCTATTTAGGTCGATAAGTTGTCTCAGAGTGCAGTAAAAGTTTCCTTCACCGACCAAACCTCAACTTCTTAATTTTGTGACATTCTCAATCATTTCGCACAATTTGTATCTAAAACTTTCTCCAAATTCGTGTTTTAGGCGACAAATGACTCAGGCTAACCGTTGGTTCCCAAAACGATTTACCATAAGCTGAAACTTTCACTTGAACTTACAGATGTTAAACATGCTCAAAAGTGGAGTGCCTTACTTTACCTCCCTTGTTTCCCAGGCCTTCTTTCACTTATAAGTACAAATTAGGTTGGATATGACATTTTACGGCAGACTCTCATCTCGATGTACTACGTAATAA